ATAAATGCGTTAAATATGATTTACTGCCTCAGAAACATTCCAATTTTCAGTACATAATTTACGTAACTATCATACCACACTTAATCGGATTAAAAAGAAAACGAAGAATTTGAAACACATGTGGCTCCGATTAAATATATGAGGATAGTCGTTAATAAATGCAAAATTATTTATTGGTATTCTCACGTTCAGAACTGCGAACAAAATAACTAATGTACTGTAAAGATAATAATCCGACTGATTAAACCGAATTCCATTAATCTAATTTGCGCGTGTCCGTTGTGTGTCAGTGCGGTAGTGTTTTATGCATTGCATTAAATAAGAATATTGCAATAAAAAAACTTCTGGGACTCGTTACTACTTTCAAGCACGCGAGTGGGTACGTGAAGTAATAGTGCTGCAGACATAGAAATTTTTAATCAACGCACGATCGGGGACGAATGAAAAAGTCATACCTGTAGATTTTCGTGATTACAAAACCACTAGTCCGAAGCAACTGTGAAATGGTTGCATGGAAAATATTTTTTTCGTAACGCGATGGATATATTTTTCATTATTACGTGACTATAACTATTGCATACAAGAAAGAGGATTGAATGAATTGATACTAAAAGCAATGAGTAAATAAACAAAATATTATATGTTTTATTTTGCAATCTCTTGCAAAATACGTATCTAAAGTATTTAAAAAGAATTTCATGCATTATTTGTTATTTTATACATAAAAAGACACGCGAGACAAAAATAACATAGAGAGAAAGCTATTATATCGGATGTATACATCCTTATACGTGCAATATGTTGTATTATAATAAATTTTTTAATTTCATGTTTTTGACGAACATATTTTTTAATTTTACATATATTTTTACTTCTGCATGTTAATTATGATTTAGTGCATTACATTTTTATTTCAACACATTTCAAATACATCCATTTCTCTAAGGAACGTGTTTAATTTAAACAATAAATATCTCTCTCTCTCTCTCTCTCTCTCTCTCTCTCTCTCTGCATGTTATTTTTATCACTCGTTTTTTTATAAAATGACAAATAATACATCAATTTATTCTTTTTAAATATTCTATATACGTGCTTTACAATAAATTGCAAAACTGAAAATACCATAGCTAACAAATCTTAATATACGTGAATTAAATAAAACAGCCAAAAGAAGAGGAATTATTATTTAAAAGCATATTAAACAAATTTAACAAATAGACCACCGCAGATTAAATTTTTTGCAAGACTTGCGTAAATGTTAGGTGGAGTAAGGGAGAGGGTTGACAAACGCGCGCATTAATTCTGGAAAAGTCAATGTGTGATAATCACATCTGCCACGAACACGTCGAGCCATAAGGAATCTCTCTGATATATTCGTGCTGAGGTCAAATGGCCGACGCAGAAAGCATATTCCCGTAAAACATTTCGCAAGGAAAACGAGGCCTCGGCTGATATATGCCCGAGGCTTACCCCTGAAAATCTGGGACGCTCGGCTCTTCTTCGCACAATTGGGAGATTTTCGAACGGCCCGATCCATGACAGTCGTCATTTTTTATGCCCGCCACTCATCAGATAAGAGTATCCGCGTGTTTTCGGTGGCAGGGGTGGACAGGGGAATGGAAGAGGACGGAAGAGAGAGGAAAACGAGCGATACACGAGGTCGATAATCCTCGCCGGAGGGTTATTCTGAGCCAGCTCGACGCGGCTTGTGTATTAATCGTGAATGGAAAAAAAAAAATCCGCAGTTCTCTCAGTTCGAAACGCGAGCACGACGAACGGCATTTACATAGGCAATTCGCGACGCGACGGTAATTGTAAACGCATATCCGCGCCAGATGGTCCGCGATTTTATCTTGAAAAGCCGGCAAAAAGGCTCGTCGTCCACCACGAACAAAATTCATGGCGCAACATTTATAGCGGCGCTCTACCCAGCGTTTTCTCTGCCGCGGAAAGATAAAATTTCGTGAGAAAAGCGCACGCGCGCGCAGTGATATTTCCTTCGCAAATTTATCTGCCGTTATTCAAGCACGATGAAAATAAACGTCACTCGATGCGGTGCAATGTGCGGCGCACTCTTTTCGATCGAAATCGAGAGAGGTAGGGTAAACGCGAGTCGCGTGTCGACCGATTAATCAGAACTCATATACTTTTAATTCGCACGATTTTGCATACACGCTGACCACGCCACCGTTCATTTGACGCCGAGAGAGGCAGTGGAGCGAGATACGCACAGCTGCATCGTATTTATGGAGCTGGCCGGCAAAGTGAGCGAGTATATCACTGCGAATGTAGTATCGCATTGGGTAGCCGCAAATTCGCGCTCCGTACTTCATGTGGTGCAAACCCTCGATCATCCTGGAACCGACCTCGTTTACGAAACTGCCAATACATCAATAATTAAGTAATTGTACTAATAAAAATATCTTCAAATTTCCATCACAATTAAAGCGACAAGTTACGGAATTATCTATATATATTATTAAAATAGAGACATTATTTATATATATATTTTTATAGAATTAATCTTAAATTTACTGGCAGGAAGAACTTATCAAACGGCGAGAAATGGCTTGAATTTTTAATCAAAATGCAGTTGGAAATTGAGGAAAAATTAATTTAAAAAAACGCGATAACGGAAATGTCGATTGATTAAAAAATGCTGCTATACTTAGCCGTGGGGGATAACAATTTCTCGCTATCGTTTGTCGTCCAGGTGTATAGCCGAGAGATACGCCGTTTTACCGGACAACAGATTTTCCAAGACAGTTAAACGTACGGGGATTTAATTAACTGAGCTTTCGTCTCCTATTCACGGTTCTTTTGTACTGCGGAGTGACCCATCCACCGCTGCCGTGACAACAAGAGCATCAGCGCTTGTCAATTTCATCCTTTGTCATGCAAAAGCACACAAGACTTTGCGCCACTATTATAACGCGTCGTCCATAGAATATACCCTGTTTTATTAATGCGATTATACACCCGCGTGCTCCCCCCCCCCCCTCTCTCTCTCTCTCTCTCTCTCTCTCTCTCTCTCTCTCCCCCTCTTTCTCTCTCTGCGCCGTGTATTTTTCTGAAAACGAAAAAAATGAAGAAAGGAGGAGCATAAGAGAACAGCGAGAGCAGCCAGGCGTTTCATGACGTTTCATAACCGCGATGTATACGTGGCCAGAAGGCGCGCATATAACGTTTAAAAAAAAAAGAAAGAGAAAAAATACCATCAGCCGGCATCCGACTGTATATTTATTCGCGGTGACATTTTTACCGCGACGCCCGTACAGAGCGGCACGATGCGCAGAGATGCGTTTGCGAGGATGCACAGTTCGGCGCGCCGCTCACAGTGAATCGAGAAGAGAAAGAAGAAAGTTCTCTGCGCGTCAGAGGCGACCGGCGCTCGTCCAAGTTGGCAGCGGAACGATACACTTCTCAAACTCGCATAATGCTTTTTTATGAACGCGGCGTATCTATTTACCTACGTATACATATCTACCTACGAAGACCATTGTCCTGCAGCAAACTTTCCCGGAGACTTACGGAGTTCGCTGCAGCTGCAAACTGCAGCATCCCAGCGCACTAAAACGACATACGTATATCCGGCGACATCCCACGGTATACTCAGGAAGGATAGAAGGATGGTTTTTGGCGAACAAATGCGCTCGAAAAAAAAAGGTCATCATTGTTTTCCGAATATCACTCAGAGATGAAGAAAACGGTGCAGTGATAATATATTCTATTTGCGATGTTTTAGCAAAAGAAAAGAAAAAAGTTTGAGAACAGGGCTTTCGATACATATAATTTCAGTATACGATAATTTCATTCACGTTTCGTGACAATTTTTCGGTAGGTATAAATTCGGTATATAATAATAATTTCATTCACATTTCGTGACATAATTCTTTCCTTTTTTTTCTGAATGTTGAGAAGATTTTTAGAAAGGTTGATACGATATTCTTTTTTCTCTTTACCTTTTTCTCATATTGATCATATGATTATAATATTGAGAGATGATATATTTATACCATATATAATTTTATGCAATTAAATGTCACGATATAGATGAACGTAATGAAAAAGATTATAAAACTAATAATTTTTAAATTATTAACAGGGCAAAGCACATTAAACTTTTATTAAAATAAAATTATGTATATTTTATTTATATATGTATGCTACATAGACTTATCTATTTCAAGATTTTTTTGTGAAAAAGATTGAAATACTGCCAGAGAAGCACTCCGTTTTACGTTGAATATTTAAAGGACTGTACTGAAAAACCCGGTATTTCGGGTTACAACATTTTCGAACAAAGTCGTCGATAAGCCGATTTTCATGTACTCGAAACCCGTTGAATTAATGCTCACTCAGCTTTCACATTGTGCGTTTGCATACTTTGAAGCATATAATATTTCGGCTCTGACCGAAAGTATGTAAAGTATTTTGAAATCGCGACGGTTAGCTAAAGTGTTCATTATTTTAAAAAATTAAAACGTAGTTTGCGCCGATTTAAATACATAAATATGACTGCTAACGAAGTTTTCGATCCCAACTGATGAGTATTAATTAATCTGTCACAATTCGTTGAAGCATCAAAGATGTTTGATATTTTTAGTCAATAATATTTTTACCCTTTTTCGTTCGTTGTAAAAAGTTATTATATATATCAGATATTACAGTGGAAATTATTTAATTTTTATGATTGGTTTTAGCCCCCGACTTTATATGTATATGTCACTATATGCATATTATTATTTACGAAGTTAAAACAAAATGAATTGTAAGAATTCACATATCGCGCTTTTTCTTTAAATTTTATTTTGGGGATTCTATAATTATTCCAGATATTTTATTAAACAATTTTATTGAATTTTTTAACTAGAATATAAATTAAAAAAAAATCTTCATAATCTGATTATTTTCACATTAAAATTTTCTTCGTATTATATCAAACGTCATATTAAATTTTTTTATGCAAATTCACAGTTGCTGTATTTTTTATTTTGCAGGTCTCGAGAAGTGCAGGGATACTGTCACACTTTGTCAATCTAAATATAGTGATACCAGAGGCGTTTATATTAGGAAGCGACGAGCATCACGTCGACGTAGGGTCTATCATAAATCTCGTGTGCATAATAGAGAAGGTAAGACACGCTACATGCCACATTTGCGAGACGCTTACTTTATGCAGATACGAGCGAGCTCGCTAATAAATGTAAATAACAGAAATTTCTTGCGATAACGCAGCGACTATACACGCAGTTTTCCTTTTAAACCGACCTCCTTTTCATCTCTATACAGTTATGCCGCGAAAGCTTGCGCGTTTATATACTCGTAGTATATCACATGCGTTGCACGGATATTAACAAGTATTGATTGTTTTGTACTATGTTTGATCATATCGGTGTTTTAAATCATTTACATTTTTAATATGTTTACACAATTCGATCGGTGTCGTACACATAGCGAAATTTCATTTTATTAAGTATAAAAATTATTTTCTTTTATATAAAACACACACACAAATTGAAAACAATCAATTTACCTGATTTTCATCTTTATTAGCGTCATGTTATTTGCTGTTTATCAAGCCTGTAATTACTGAGAAATACAATGTTTTAAATATCTGTATTAACGTACATAAAATATTGCATTTTTCCATCGTCTTTTTTTATATCGTGTTATGTATATGTTTCTTTTATATATGGAATTTTTACAAATTCTTGTATCAAAGTCAATCGTTTTCTTACATAATCTTAGTAAATATTGAAAAAAAAAAAACACACAAATCTCATAAAAAAAATTACCTCTAATATCTTTGGAAAAGATTATTACCAAATTTTAAGTTCCAATATTCTCCAATTGTAGCAATAACGTCCACTTGCATGTCCATTTAACATTAAATTGGTTACATGAGTTTTTAATGTAAAACCTCGGTGATACGCTGAGGGAGGATTGCATCGCAACGTAATTTTTCCATTTCATAAACAAAATTGCAATATGCAAGGCGTATCCTTCGGGACGTTCGCATACGCGCGGGATTAATTATCATCAAGATGCGTTAATAGCAACCAGCTTCGCCAACTCGTTCTCATACGCTCGCGAACGTGGCACGATATGACATTAACAAGAATAATTCGCGCGTATCGTGCTTGTAATCCCGCATTCGTCGTTTCATTCGTCCTCGTAACATTTGACCTATATCCCTATAGATTATTAACGTTTCCGGAAAGCGCGCGAATATATATATGGTACAGCTGCCGCACTTTCGCCCTCTCGAATATCGTAGCATTTCCCGTCCAAGGCGCAGAAGCTTGGCATTCACGATGTACTATACATATGCCTGCGATATTTCAGTCATTTTATCGGATCTGCCGCTTGTCTGCGGATTCCGCAATATGCAAACACGGCGCGGTGCTTGCACCCCTCACTCGATATTCGCGGCTCTGTTCAACGACGACGAAAGAAGAAATCGCGGGACCCGATGACGTTGATTCTATTTTAATTGGCAACCCTGTATACCAGATGCCCATTAATTAAACTGATAAATTAAAACCGCTGCACTCGTGCCCGCGTAGCTGCGGTGCGGCCGGAAATTGATTAAATTCGTGTTCCGTTCGACCTTTCGACTGCGTGCCGACTATCCTCCATTCCCAATTTAACAGGGTGCCACCGAGTCACTTTATTCTTTTATTTCAATACGTATATGTGTGTGAGAGTACAAAAGTTTTTCCTGGAAACATCTAGATGGCATCAGGCTTATTTCTTCGTTTAATTCGTGTTCTATACTTATGGTATAGCCGACGAGATAAACATCATTAATTCCGCGATTGTAGTTCGTAAGGCATTGTTATTCTGAATTCATTAGAAAAATTCGAGATGTAAGCAAAGCGAAATGGCGCGGCGCAGAAATACAAATCTTGTTTATGTTTCTTATTCCTGTTGTATATATAATTCTACAGTACTTTGCACTACTTTTATGTAAATTTAAACATTCTTTCCATGCTTTCTTTTCATCCATTACAAGAATCGCTTGCAAGGAAATTAAAGAAAAAACAAACTAGCCCAATACGGTTAAATTAAAGATATTCTCGATTGTGCCAAAATAATCACACACATACCTTCATAATATAGTAGAATTATTTTGCTATTCCATTAATCTGCATGAAATCGTATTAATATTAGAGAACATTTAATTATCAGAATTTATTTGCGACTTCCACTACAGAGAGTCATCAGTCTCGATTTTTACATATATACATAAATTATAATTACGTTATCAGGTATATAGCTTTCAAAAAGACGTGTACGCAGAGAAAACGCGCCATTTTTCGGCATTACGCCGATTTTATAGTAATTGTCAAGCACAGCCATAAATACCGTTAATTAAACTGATAAATTAAAATTGTCACGGTACCTGAAAATTGATCGCACGCAGATCCGCGCGTACGGCACGCGTGTCACGGATATACGCATGTATATATATATATATATATGTAAATGTATGCTCGCATGCAACCGCTCTTTACTTTTCACGCGAACGTGTCGAAACGTTGGAGCCGGCGGAATTCACAAAACGCGAGTCTGTAAAAATACACCCCTGAGGGTAAAAAGGTAGAGTGCACCGGAACGCGGAGCGTTTGCTAAATAAGGGCGAGCGAAATGCGGGCGATTTAACTCCAGCAAGTGCAACCGGGTCGGCTTAACTTCGAAACGCAACCGCGCCTCTAATCTTACTTCGTCACGCGACCGCAGCAGTTAACTCTCTCCTTTCCGCCGAGACCGAACGGTCGGTGAACCGCATTTGGAAGAAAAGTGTGTGACGTTGCGGATCGTGGCAGGCGATACACCTCCTCCCGCCCTCTTGTCGCTTTTCGCGAGCAGTTTTTGCTAAATAAGCTCGGAAATGGCGATATGTAAATTCAAACTGTACCGGTATGTATCGATTAATAATACAGCGCATTTCGTGTTTTTAACCGCCGATAAATTCACGCTTCATTGATTAATACAATGTACATCGACGAAATATATCTAGAATTATAAAAGTAATATCGGGCCTGAACTAATTGCGTCACGATCGGTAAACAATTTCATCGTTAAATCCGAGTGAATCCACCGACGCGAAGCGACAGAAACTGCATGAGAAAAAAAGGGAATGAAATAATACTCTCCTCGCGCTTGTTCTCTCTGCGAATTGGGATTTTTTTCTCCACGCATTTCGGATCCCACTGATCTCGCGGACGTCGTTTGCATTTTTAAGAATACAAATTACGAACTGCAATATCTCGACGTATATATTTTAATGAAATAAGATTACCGTGAAATATACAATGAAATATCACGCGACTGCGGAGTAAAGCAATTTTTGTAGCGAAAAATCGACGCACTTAAAATATAGGGTTTATTTATCAGAGAAAGAGAGACAGATAGAGACAGATAGAGATAGAAAGAGAGAGAGAGAGAGAGAGAGAGAGAGAGAGAGAGAGAGAAATTAAAAAAGGAGAAGACAAAAATAATAAGTTAACAGTTTCCTATGTGGTTTACCTAACTATGCGATACTTTCTAATTTTTTGTTGACTTCAGAATTGAAAACTGATGATCGGATTCAAAACAGGAAATATTTCTAAACGTTAAAAATATATAAGACATTTTCAAATATTTACAGAAGTGCAATGAAAATTTAGAAAAAAAGTAGCATTAGGTATATTAAGTGCATACCAAATAATACATGTTAACCTCCTTTTCATAAAAAAAAGAAATGAAAAATAAAGTAAATTAATGTTACTTTTATAACTTTATTAACATATTAACATGTTTATTGACATGTAAGAAACTATTTTCTAAACAATTGACTTATCTACTTTTACGATGTTTAGCAAATAAATTAGAATCCATTGTCTGAAATAACAAAAGTACCATAAAACATTACAATCGATATGTTTACACTATATACTTATTATCAGCATGCCTAGGCTATATTCATTATATCTTCAAAGAGTTTTCTCTCTTTAGTTATAAACAAAACGTTAAATACGAACTAAATACAGCGTTGTAAAGTACAATATAAACAGAGCTACATTAAAATGAACTACGAAAATTAATAACTAACTCTTGGGAGAAAGCAATTACTTATAAAATATTATATCACCACGATGTTCTACATTTTGCTTTACTAACAATAACAGAATAAACAAACTAAGCAATAAACTGATGCAATCGAGTCGGACGAACAGCCTGTACGACTCACCAGTGTTATCTGTTGAATTCGCCGTATAATTATCCTGATCCAACGAGTAGGTCATGTAGAATACTATAAGCCATATAGGATTAAGTTGTACTATTCTGAAATTAAATATTATGGTGAAACAAGTTATCACAATGACATACCACCAATCTAAAAAAAAATTAAGTATTCTCACGAGAAACTAATATTCACCGCACGTCGTCGTTTAATTTCACGCGTGCATGTTATAGCTTTGCGTCATTGGTTACGTTGTACACAATTGCCGCATCCCAGAGAGAGAGAGAGAGAGAGAATAGGAGATAGGAAGCGAGAGAGAAAGAAGAAATACGAGAGAGAACATCGATCGATACGAGCGCGCTTACGTTCGCTCCATCCGAGCTTAAAGAGGAAATTTTGGAATTGCCACCACAGACAAAGTTTTGAACTTTAAAGCAAGAGATAAAGCTCTCCCTCATCCCCGTATTAGGGGAAAGATTTCATTGGACCACTCGGGTATATAGCGTAGATAAAAGTTGCCGCGAATGGGAGACAAGTATCTCGCCCTCTCTCAACTCCCTTTAATGCGTAATGAGTATTCTTTTACTCGCGCGAATAACATGTAAATCTTGTAAAAGTTAATGTGCCCACGTTATACTTATCACTCCGCAAGGATATCTCAGTTTTATAAAATTTCATATTACTATCTTGGTACTAAAACTTCAACGTTATTTATTTTCATTTGACGGAAAAATGTTTTATAAGCGGATATGACATTTCCTTCATTTCAATATCGAATCGCTGAATGATACTGTGATCAATTTTATTGCGATGTATTAATACATTTTTAACCGAGCGTTTTACATAGAAACTGCCTGTAGCAGATTATTTTTTATTTCAAAACACTCAACGAGAATGAAATTT